GTGGTGGGGGGGGGGGGGGGGCGCTAATGAAAGATTTGGCCCCGGGCACCTCGTGACCTTGCTACGCCTCTGAACAATATGAAATGTAATTTGCCTGGAGTTCAGCTTTAAGATCCAGGATTTCTCCATTCCACATTCAGCTTCCACATTAGGAGAAAGCAGGACTGGGCTGTAATTACAGTTTAGTATGTGAATGACCTTCTGGGTCAATGTCTGGGGTACTGAGTCAGTTTATGTTTAGCTTTAGACTGCAATAAATTTGGAAACGGAGCAAGCAAAATCCCACAATCACTGAAGGAGCAGCTGGAAGTTACCCCTACCAGAGGATATTTTCTTCTTCACAGTGTCCATAAGTACAACCTGACCTAATTTTACCCCTCTAATCAGTCATCAACCGCAGGAATTAAAGCTAAGGGACTATGATAAGCGGGGGAGCATGGAGTCTTGTTTCTATCTCCGGCTCTCTGTATTTAGAAAACTTGTTTTTCTTTGGTCCCACGGCAAATATGCGTCATGGGTCTAGGGTTTACAAAACAGGACTAGGGTCATGTCTGCATCCCATTATACATACAGACCACATTTACATCAGTTGTCCTGATTGTGCAGTTCAGCCAGACACTGACACATTTTGCATATGGACGCTGTCTTTATTACTTTCTCTGTTCATGAGACTCATTTGTTAAGCCTTGCTGGGTTTGCTTTGGAATTTCACTTTAAATGACATGGCATTAACAATACACTTTGTCTTAAATGGCTCTGCTTGCTGGTTCCACCAATCACAATTATTATGCTGTAGGAAATAGAGCAGAACTATTGCCTATACACATTTCTGAAGAGCTGGCATTCCAGAATGGGGTCAGCCTGGTGTACACATGCCATCTAGTGGTTTTAAGTCCTCATAGCATCAATGAATAAAAAAAGATGAATAGCAGTCATTTCAAGGAGTCCTAAAGCCCCAGAATATACTCTCCTGTTATAACATCAGCAGTGTAACAGGAATACATACTAGAGTTGGATTTGATAATACAATCAAAGCTTATTTAAAAAATCCCTTTTATGTAGTGAGTGCTGCCTTCGGCCTGCCCTTCACTTTTATCTTCAACTTCCTGGATTCCCAGTGTGCTTTATGTCTTTTTGCCTGCTGCTTGATGGGATGCAATCTTGATTTCTCAAGACTACATAGCCCATCATGCATTGCTTCCAGCAAGCAATTATAATGTTACAGTGTGGAGACATTGAGTTGTAGTCCAGAAGGTAGGCTCTGTGAAAGTTCTCATGAACCATGCAAAAAACAAACAGAAGGACAGTGCCTAGGGTTACCACCTTTTCTTAAAGCGAAACCCGAACACTCTAGCGACGTGCAGACATTTTTGGGGGAGAATGAGCCATGGCTTATACATATGTAAATAGCGCCGCCCATTCATATGTAAATATCACAGTTGAGACCATTTTCAGTAGGGGGCCAGTAGCCCCTATCTTAATTCTGGTTGCCCCTGTGTGCCTGACATCTCGTGTTCGGGTTTCTGCTGCCATGAAACCTGGACACAGCATTCAAAGCCCGAACTGTCCGGGTGAATCCTGGACAGGTGGCAACCCTAACAGTGCCCTATGTTTGTTTTCTGCATGGTTCATGAGGCTACTTCCCAGATGTCTTTATGGATGGCAGACTCCCTCAGGTGGTTGGTGGTGGAGAATCAGGAGGAGTATCCAGCAATTGTCGGCTGAGCGCTGAGGAAGTGCATAGTCATAGGGCTGAGTGAAATTGCGTCAGTTCAATTTTGCAAAAGGTGGCCTATGCCTTTCATGTTCTTTGGCAGCATGTATTAGAGGATTAAGTGAGAACTATGAGGTGAATGCTTTTCACTCACCTCATAGTTCTAGCCGACCTGTGAAAATGAGACTGTCACAGGTCGGCTCAGTAGATCGGGAAGTGAGCGGACACATACCGGCGTTCGCTCACCTCTCGATTCTGTCACGGCTCTCTGACAGGGGAGGGGCTAGGATTCCCCCCTCCCAGCTCTGATCCGCCAGCGCTGACTAGTGGAACGGATGGGGGAGGTGGCGGGTACAGCTGAGTCTGCCTCTAGGTAGGCAGAGCCAGCTGTCAGTCACGCAGCTGGTGCGGATCCAGACATAATTGTCGGGATCCGCTTCAGCTGCGGCGTCTTAATATACCGCGAGCAGCAGCTCGCGGTATACTGCGGCGTCTCGGTATACCGCAAGCTACAGCTCGCGGTATACTGAGCCTAGGGTGACGGGAGGATGCTAGTTTGTGTCCTCCCGTTACCCTAAGGAGAACTATGTCGAAAAGCCCTAACCGCATAGTTCTTCTTTAAGGCCAGGATGTGATCATGTTAGGATACATTATTATCAGCCGAAAATTGCACTTTTGGCAAAATGCCAAAAGTGCCATTTCTTTGGCCGAAATAGCGGTGCATCCGTTCTTTCACTCCTCCCCGCTGGGCGCTGCTCTGTGTCCCAGCGGGGAGGAGAGAAACTGTCACAGGAGGCTGAGCGGTGCGGGGGAAGAGAGCGATGTAAGAGAGCGGCCGGCGTCTCTCCTCCCCACACCGATCAGCCTCCTGTGACAGATCAGAAGAGTGGCTGTGTGGGGGCGGAGACAGCTCTCAAAGCTGTCACAGGAGGCTGGCCGGTGGTGCGGGGGAGGAGTTAGCTTTCAGATCGAGCTCTCCTCCCTGCTCCGCTCGCTCAGCCTCCTGTGACAGCTGTCAGGAAAGAAAGCAGGTACAAACACTCAGTGATCAGTGATTGCTGAGTGTTTGTACATAATTGAGGACTGAATGGGAAGTGATCTACATCACCTCCTGTTCATTCATGATTGTGGTTATAGTAAACATACCATGTCCTCATGTTATCAATGAACAGAAATAAACACTCCATATAGAGGATTCCTGTTCATTTATAACGGGGGCTGCAGAAAAAGAGATTGAGGACTCTGTGTCCTCAATCTCTTTTTCTATTTTAAAAGGGAAATATCAGGAGTCTGTTTAGACCCCTAATATTTCCCCGAAGCCCCTAAAAGTAAAGTAAAAACATTTAAATATTTAATAAAAATAAAGAAAAATTAAAAAGTTTTACAAAAAAACAAATAAAAATAAAATATTTGAAAAAGTTAGAAAAACA